TTGACGAATGATTAACAAAATCATTCAGAAGTGCACCTTCATTCAGTGTACCTTCAGAAATGCATTTATACATATATTTCATACACACACTAAATATTAAATATAATTATTTAAAATTCTATAACAAATATAAATTTAAATATGTATAGATATGTACAAATGATAAAAATAGAATTTTAAGAATTTCGTCAAGAATTTTTTGTCTAAAGTATATAAATAGGAGCATTACTTATTTATTTAAAAAATGTATTGTTTCTTCTACTTTTTTAAAATGTGAAATTTGTTTGTTTCTATTAATTGCGTGTAATGCAGTTAATTAATTGTCGAGATAGTGATCGGTCGTAAAACAAATTCAAATTATACGCGAATTAGAGACAGTGTTGTTCGCCGCATAAGCTAATTTCGGTTTTGCGATAAGAAACTCATCTATAGTTTCTTATTTTCGTTTATACCGTGCTTTTAGATTCACGCGAGGTGCATCGCCATAATGCAATTGAAGTTCATCCTTCACTTTTGCAATAATCATTAGCTATCCAACAATAATTATTATTATTTTTCTAATTGTATATCTTCTACGCGTATCATATACTTTGTTCTTTTTTTCTTAAATTCGAATTTAAATTTTAAAATTTAATTTAATCAATTAAGAAAATTCATTGAAGATTTCTATCTCCAAGATAGAATAAGAGCATTCATGATACCTACACGTATCCTATTTCCTCATACAGATCTTCTCTTTCGTATCTCCTATTTAATTGAACACACCACGTCCTATTAGTAAAACGGAATCCCACTAAGTTAGCAAGTTCGAGGTTTGCGAGGCTTCGAATTCCCCTTTAATGTGAAAATTGGAGTATGGCATCCTAGCATCGATTTCATTCATTGAAAATTCTATCTATTAGAGCAAATTTAACACTTAGAAAATTAAATTACATAATAGAAACGATGTAAAAAAAGAATTCCTTTTTTCTTTTAAAATAAAAAAAAAAGAATTCATAATACGCAAAAAAACAAATTATTTTACATATCAGTAATTATTTACAAAAGAATCATTAAAAAAAAAAATTATGTAATAAAATCTCATTGAGAAATAAAATTGATGATAATTAAAGATTGTTAATACTAATAAAAAATTTTTTAAATATTGTTTTATATTAACAAACACGTTTTACTCTATTCACGTGCTAGCCAAGTTAAGTATTACGCGGTATATTTGATAGCAGTAAAACACCTTATCTAACAACAATACTATTAGATCTTTGTAAGATTATAATATTTCGGTTATATAATATATTCTAAAACACGATTGCTTCTTGCTCAAAAAATTGTAGGCTTTTTGACCGAAAGCTCTTTCATTCTTGTTTAACGATTGGTGACTTTTTCGAAGTAACAAATACAATATTATTTCTTTTTTTCTAAAAAATGAAAAGATTAAAAGGCATGTTTATGGTGAAACAACATTTTTTTTAATATTATTAATTATTGTACTTAAAATGTAAGTTACATAGATGACACGAAAATTTCAGTTAAAAATTCGAGAAAGAAGAAACTTGGCAAAGTTCAATAGCATGTACTTTCTAACGATGTAGATAAAAATATAATGTAGTAGAAAATGATAAAAAGAGTTATGTCTTATTAGCATAATACCAAATAACAAGGGCAACGGTAGAGAGTATGTTCTCTTAATATATAAAGGGCGTCTCTTTCTCTCTTTCTTACTTTCTCTGTGTTGAAGGTCTTTTCTATCATCAGATTGCAAGCAAATGTGAACTGAAAGAGAGAAGCATAATATGGTACAATTTGGAATGCAAAGGACGTTGCACAACTTGGTATAGTAAGAAACTACAAAACTTCGTCGAGTGATGAGCTGTTTCTGAAAATAGAAAATTCCTCGATTCTTTGCAATAGAAAATAAAATGGAAGAGAAGAGAAAAAAAATAGAAATATGTTCTTATATAATGGTCCAAAGTTTCCAAGTCATGATACTAGGAAGTTCTTATATCATTTTGAAAATTTATTACTCCTATTTTCTTAACGTCTCATATCATCAAACAACGACCGTCAAAATTTGTTCGCAACTTAAAATGACTGGTTTAAAAAAATCTCGAAAAATAAGTAATTAATTTTTAAAATCGTCAAAAAATTTTTAGATCGTCTGTAAATACAATTTTCGAAGTTGTTAGCCATTTAAATTTTGTACTCTTCAAAAATGATTAAATCAAAAGTGTTGTGAACGAAATTCTTTCTTATCGTTTGAAGTCTCTTCAATTTTATCTCGAGAACATCGAAGCCTGTTTGTGTAATCACGTTTTTAGTATACATCAGCACCTTTCTTTTTTGTCAGTTAAAACGTAGTCGTCTCTTCTTGATAGGGAAAAAGCAAAAAAAGATAAGTATCACCCAAATAGATGAAGAGTACTGGTGGTCTATATATATAGGTCGAGTTAACTAGACCATGTCTTTAAGATAAGGATTCTCAACTTTTCATTTTTTACTTACCCCTTATAAAATCCTACGACTAATTGGTGTACCTTTCACACGGATTTTGAAAAAATTATCCATTAAATTTTGGTATCTAGAAATTGTTTATATAATATCAATAAAAATAATAGAGAATAACATAAAGGAATTATTAAGTATTATAAAATTATAAAAATATAACAGAGAATATTTCATAAAGTATTCATATAATACGCATCGAGGATCAAAGATCTACAGATTATAAATCATTTGTATGCACTTACATTTTATTTACATTCAACGCAAAATATTTGTATAAACGAGTCGTTATTACCATTTTGTCATAAGCTTCTTTCACAGAGGAATCATCTTATCATAACTCGCGTTTTTAAGAGACCGCATGCAAATAGAAAAAGTCTCTCAGAATAGAAGATAGAAAAGAGAAGTTTACGGTTGAAAAAGTTTTTCAACGTACTTATTCACAGATAGTTGAGGAACAGGATGTGTGTGGGGGGAGTTGAGATGATTTCGTAGCCCATCGCAGCTGGTAGGAAGTTCGTAGCTCGAAATCGAGCGTAAGAAATATCTCCCCTTGGAGTCTGATAAAGCTCATGGACCTTTGAAGCGAACTAATGCTTCAACGCTGAGAGTTCGAAAGGGGAGGGGGCAGGGGGGGCTAGTGATTCTTGTATAATCGATCGCCTCAAGCAAGCTAAGAAGAAACTCAGAATCTTCCAATTTGATCGCTTTGTTTCGGTTTATCCAAGTGAACAAAATACCAGATCTTTAGCGAAGTGTTATCGTGAAAATTATTCTCAAATTTTCTATGTCCGAGGTTTCTATGTTTAAGAATTTATTTCCTGTTGCAAACAAATATCAATTATTTCAAATTTACAATGAAAACTGATATGAATATTCCTTTGACTCGTTGTATTTATATATAAAAATAATAAAAAATGAACAAATATATATAAAATAATGAAAATATTTTATGATTGATAATAATTAGTTAGAAGCGATATGATTTGATCGAGAAAATAATTTAGTCGTGAATCATACAAGAGAAAATACATATATTACTAAAACGAAGAGAGAACGAAAGAGAAAGATGAGAACACAGAGTGAGAGAAAAAGGGAAAGAGTAGAGGAATTGGAGAAACGAGAACAAACGCGATGCAACGAGCGTCAATGGGAAAACTAACATTTTCGCTTCTATAGAGACGAATGTTCTGTGTCATTTCTACTCTTGCCTAACGGCATCGTGAATAGTAATTGTACACGTTAGTAAAAGTTATTCGGTGAAACGAGCCGTATACTTTACCGAGAAGTAAAAAGCTTCTCCAAAAGAAAATTCACATTAAATCAATCCTCCCTATATATATATAGAATATATACACCCGTATTAAACGTATACATACATCTATTATAAATTATCTATTAAGTATACATACATATATCTATTTATATTCATCTATGTATGACGCGAAAACACACGAGAGTTCGTGAAAATAATTAATTAGCCGAAATCAAATAAGAGAAATGAAAAATTTCTGCAAAAACTTGTATTCCTCTTAGATTTTCTCTTTTGGTTTACATTTATTTTGTATGCTTTTGCAATGTTGACGAAACGAACGAAGAAAAGAACGAATAAAAGAAGAAAGAGGAGGTGGTGGTGGTGGAAGAGGAGGATCTCGTTCGTGTCAAAGTCTTTCCAACGTTTTTCTCGTTAGCATTAATAATGCATCAATGTCACGGGTCGTTGGGTGTTAAATTTATCAGGGTTCTCGGTCAACCAACCAACGCCAAGAAAATATATGCGTGTTAGAGAGAAAGAAAAAATATTGAAAAGAAAAGAGAAAGAGAGAGAGAGAGAGATAGTAAATGTGATGCAGTTTAATTAATGAATTCTTTAAAAGGGAATCTGATTCCATGAAGGCATACACATAAGTACATGGTGTGTAATCGTGAACGATCTATCTAGAAAAGCTCGATACGGTTATTACGACGTTGAAACCGTTTCTGAAGATTATTATGTCCGTAGACTCACTCGATGGCCACATTTTTCTTCGACAAGTAGAAGAGACTCCTCCTATTCTGCCATCTTCTTCTTCTACTACTTCTTCTTCGCTTTTTTTTCTTCTTCCACCTTCTCGTCTTACTCTCCTTTTTCTTTTCTTTTATTATTTTTCTTTTTCTTTTTTTTTTCATTTATTTTCTTTTCTTTACTCCTGATTCTCTTGTATCTCGATCTTCCTTTCGCAGCACCATTCACCAGACCACAAGACATTTAGTATCTGTCTCGTTAAAAATATTTCCCATCGTAGAAGTTTATTTTTCTACGTGTTATCCTCTTTGTAGAAAATAATATATATCTCACTCACACACCCACCGAACAAGAAGACACTTTTCTTTCTTTCTTTTTTTTTTCTTTTTTTTGTGACTCTTATCACGGATGAAAATTCTAATTATATCAATTTTATCGTTCTTTTCATTAACTTTTTTACTTAATTGGATATACAATTACTAAATTGTGAGTTCCTAAAATTACGTTTAAAAAAAAAAAAAGATAGGAAAAAATGGATCCTATAAAAAAGTATGAACGTGGGCGTGTGTTTGGCTGTGTGTGTATTTGTGTGTGAGGAAAAAAAAATATAAAAGATTATTGTTGAAGGAAAGAAAAATTTATTTGTAATTTAAAGCTTTTCCGATCGAACATGCTTTTCGATGAAAATTTACCAACGATGAATTATGATGATATGGTACTAATTAGTACCGTTCGATATTTCCACGACTAAGAAATTTTGTTTTTCTTCTTCTCGATTTAGGCACTAATTCGTTCCAATATATCGTATAGCTCATAGATTCCTTCTCCTTCGGTTCATCAATCTCGATCTCGATCTCATCTGAATTTCGGTCGAAGCTTTTGTATAGCTCGAAAAGTAATAAAACGAAAAAATAAATAAGCTCGATGACGCTGATGAGGCTGAACCCGATGAAGATCCCGCAAATACCACCGATATCGCCTGTAAAACGTACAAACAGACACTTTACGATACACCCCTGTCACTGAGATAAGAGACAATCTTCTTGATAATGGTAATACCATGCTATTGCTAAGCAAAACCTCCTACTATAGATATATATATATATATACATATACGGATTCATGTTTCATCAATTTAGATTTTTAAGAAAAACTTGCTTATTTGCTACGCTTGATTTCTCATTACAAACAAAATAATAAGTAATTCTAAATTACTGTATTTATAAAAAAAAAGTTCGCAACAAGAAATTCAATTAAAACAAAAAGTACAGAAAACAATAGATTAAATATTCATCAGTGATCGAAAAAAAAAAAATGGAAAATTTTTAAACAATATAAAAAATTATATTTTTAATGGAAATCATTATTTTATGTAATTAACAAATATTGATAACAATTCGAATAACTTACAATTAAATCACTTTTACGATCAAACAAATTCATTCAAATTATAAAATAACTATTAATGATTTTAACGAAAGATTCAATATCATTGTGATTCGAGTGTGTAAAAATAAAGACTAAAGGAAACAAAGATAGGATAAAGACCAAAAAAAATTAATAGAGGAGTGTTTCGTTACCGTAGAGAGAATCGAAACGAGGATTTGTTTTTTCGACCGAAAAGAATAAATACAACTAGAGTTGTTTTTTTTGGAATAGGTAGCAACACATTGAAAAAGGCTCGATTGAAGCGGCACGAGAGACGATCAGAAGAGAGAAAAACAAAGTTAGTTTGTCGTATTTCAAGCGAAACCGTCCTTTTTATCCTACCTATTTGAGTTACGGAATCTCAAAAAACGTTTCAAAAAAATCAGAGATCTCTCACTTTCTCTCAAAATTTACTTACTCAAAAGTTCATACCAGGTGTAAGAAAGGTCTTGCTTTAATCTAACCGTGCCATACTTAGAAAAGAATATGTGAATTACACTCTGATCGATTATTTCCATATCGCGCCTAAAAAAAAAAAAGAAAGAAACGGAATTTTTATTTAGAAGATTTTTGGTAAAAAATTATTGAAGTTATTATGAATATTATTTTTACTTACAACAAAGACGTTTCATAATACCCACGTTTCATTGTTGAAAAAGAACTTTGAATGGTGTAAAAAACATCTATACAAGAAGGATAGCAATTTCCACAACGTAACGAATTATATTCATTCACCGTATTGTTCAAAGCTTCGTCATCATGAGGAAATACTGTTAACCAGTTGGCTGAAATACAAAAGTATCATCGATCGTCAAAATGCAAAATAAATAATGTAAATGTATGTTCGTGACACTTACATTTGTAACGATCTAAGCATTCTATATCTGTCAACGTGCAAGCTCTTCTTCCATCTGTCATACAAAAAATATATAAAATATACATATATTATTTAATAATATACATTAATTAATTTATCAAGCAAAATTGTTTAATAATTTTTGCTCCTGTTATATCTAAAAAATATTATTTAATTTAAAGATTACACAATAAACAATTATTTAATCATTTCTGTTTATTTGGTCAATATTTTGGTAAAATCAATAGTTGATATTCTAAAGATTCGTTCAATATAAACACACACACACACACAATAGTGTTGATATTTTATTATAAATATTAGTTATTTATTTGAAATAAATAAATGAAAAGGTAAAAACTGAGAAAGAAGTAAAAGAAAAAAAGAAACTGTAGAAAGAAGTAGAAAAAACGTTAGATCGAATATAGGGGGATTAGAAAAGCTAGGATAAACGGGTAGTTTTTAAAAGAGAAGAAAAAGAAAAAATGAGCAAGAAAAAAGGGTTTAGGAAGAGCAAAGTGCGCTAGTCAGCACAGGTGCCGAGGAGAAAGACGAGTTCGTTCCACGCGAGCTTTCACCCTCATTCAAGTTGCAGCCATAGTTGTAACCTTCTCTTAATCCTTCTACGTCGTCGTTTCAGAGTCCTTTCGTGCGATCAGCTTTAACGCTTTAAGTTAGCCGCAGTAAAGCCTCGTTACAAAGCTCGGGAACTCTAAACGTACATCTGCAATATTCTCGGCAATGTTTCTTTCTCTATTTCATCGTAAAATAAAAAAAGAAAGGAAGAAAAATATTTAACCGTTTGATTAATTAATTTTTTTTTTTTCAAATAATGATTACAATAATTTTTAAATCGAAATTTTGTATACTTTGCGTGCATCGATAAACAATTTATGCTTATCGTTTTTTATTTAAATAATTTCTGGTATTTTATAAAATTTTTTCCGTAATTTTTTGTTTTTCTTGTCGACAGAAATTTAGACAAGATTTGATCATCCTCTAATTTAATTATTGTTGATAAAAAAAAAGAAAAGCATAAAATATATTTTAATAGAGTGTCGTATAAAATGAATTTCAAGTTTTTAGTCGAAAAACATCGATCGATAATATTGCCGAATAGTTCACGATGCTATCTCCTCCTCTTTCTCTTCCCGAAATCGTCCATTCTCGAGAGACCATCGACGATCCTTCGATTGAACTATGCGAAATTTATAGGATCGATGAAAAACAATCAATGCATTTTTATTTCGATTATTATTATCGTTTAAAAAAAAATTTTTTTATTGAATATAGGCGTGTAACGATATCGATTTCCCTTGCAAAAATAATTACTCTATAAAGAGCCATTATTACAACTTCAACAAACGAATGCATTTAATGCATATACGACCCGAGATATGCATTTATTTCATGTATATTTGAATTTACTTGACAGAATGATTAAGAGATATCTCTCTGTTAAAATATGATTATTTAAAATGGTTGAATTACAAATCGTGTATTATTTTAATAATAATAATAAAAATTATTATTATTATCAAAAGAAAAAATTTATTCGAATATTAAATGAAAGAAAAATAATGTTCCAATTATTTTAGCAAGATCTTATCAATAATGAATTCTTAATAGACTGACATTAGCCATTTTATTTCTTTGTTTTTCTCTTATCCCTGCTCATCTAATACGTTTTAATCGTATACATGTAAGCCAACACACACACAACACAAGTTAAAAGACACATTTAAAATAATGAAATAATAATGAAAGATTAAAAAAATAATAATTATAATGATAATAATCTTGAGATATACTTACGTTTCGATTTGACTTCTGCACGCGTAGGAAGATAAAACGGAATACACTTGCACATTTTCCATATTTGCTGTTCTCTGCAATCGACCAAGCAATCGCTGTAACTGTAGTCACCATAACGAGTTTGAATCTCGTTAGGGAATATGCACTTCCGTTTAGGAATAGGATACGATTTGGTTTGACTTGTACTATGGAAGGATACAGCCTCGATTTCCAAGTAGGATTCCAATAACGGTGAAACTAACACCTCGGTGACACCGCCGCTGATGTTATCGGGATAATCGGTAGGATTAAACAATGTTACCTATACAGACAAAGGGTCGTGTCACCTATTAGATATGATCATGTTTTATCCTACAGCTTAACGAATGACAAATTTATATAGCTACTTGGTTTTAAATTATATTAATGAGAAATATTTTCATTAGGTTCGACATTTCATATTATGTTAACAAGGATTTTTGAATGACACTGTTTTATTACAATTTTTGGAGGATCGTCATCTGTTTATCTTTTTTTGAAACTGATCGTAAATCGTTATAAACAACCATAATGTGAATGCATCATAATAAAAGAAAAAAATATAAAACGAGAAATATAATATTTAAATATTTTATTAAAATATTGTTTATATTTTAATCCTTCCATTACTAGCGATTTGTATACGAGTCTTCATTGCAAAAGCCCGAATTTAAGAAAGAATTTATATGAAATCTATTCTTTTATTAAAATACACATTGTAACAGACACTGTATTTGTCAAAACAAATAACAAACTTATTACATTCGCTTTGTGGATAAAATCATTAGAAGAAACTAGAATTATTGATCCCTTCACCATTTTTCATTTTAAAACAGAATAAATTTAATAAGTGCATTTAAAACGTTACAACACCAACAGGAAATTTTCTTCTATACATTTATCAATGAGAAATGAGAGAAATGTATTATTAGGAAAAGGAAAGATGGATGGTACAAGTATGTCGAAATACTTCGGTGAAAATTTCGGAAAACGTTTCTAGTAGAAAATTTATTTCTTTTCTTCTCTTTCAAGAGAATGAGACAGATATATATAAAGAGAGAGAGAGAGAGAGAGAGAGAGAAAGAGAGAGCTGTCATTATTGTGGATGGACATGTAACTTGTGCCGAAAGCATGTCACGCAGAAAAGCGTTTACGTGAGCGCGAGAGTACGAAAAATAAAGAAATAGGAAAAAATGGGAAGAAAAAGAAAAAGATAGAAACTACACGACGATGTCCATTTACAATGGTAGAACGTGTAAAAAACATTTCGGACGTAGGTAACAACCGCTGCGGACGAGGATTACTTGGAGAAGGGATTATACCTAGCGTTCGCTAATGACTTTTGTGAGCTTTTTATCGTCGAGCGTTGTGTCGGTTATAGTGCTTTCCCTGAATGAAACACAGATGTTGAGTAGATAATGGTAGCCCCGCGTGGAGATGAGAAAAATGAAAGGTGCGAAATACCGGTTCCAACAACCTCAGCCATCCCTTTCCCTCATCCCGCTACTTTTAACGCATTAATGAGAAATTTAATAATACTTCTAACTCTCTTCAAAGATCTCATCGATTCTTTTACATTAACTCTCTATCGTTAATTAAACTTCCATTGTTTATTAAAAAAAAAAAAAAATATCGATGATATTTCGTGGCAATTAGTCAAATGTTTTGTGTTTCGGTTTGATAAAAGTTGTTTTGTTTTTGTAGTAATTGTTTAAAATTGGTCCGTCAGTGGGAATTAATTTAAAGGAATATATTTGAAATAATTTTATTGTTTTTCTGATAGGAATTTTTTTTGTAAATTGCATAGATGCCATTAGAATGAATACAATGAAAAGAACTATTGCTCGTATAATAATTTGTAAAAAATAAATCGAACGATAACTAGTGTATATGATTGTATAAATTAATTGTATTTGTTTAAAAATAAACGTGTTTTCTTTTTTAATTTATCTCTTCTCCATTATATACCTTTTTAGAAAATTTGTGTTAAATTGCATTGCTGCATTTTTGGGATAATCGTAACATTACTGTAATTACAAAATGAAGATAATATCCGATTAAAAGGATTTCAGCAAGATTGTTTGAAATGATCTCGGTAGTATAATATTACTCTCTTACCTTCCATCCGATAACAGGGAGAAAAGTGTAAAAGTAATCATCCAGGAAAGGTTCCATCACAACTGTAAGACCACGTTCGATTCCTAAATCCTTCACGGTTCTCACTTCCTCTGGTTCCTCGTCGTCACTGATAGATATAAAACCATAATCAAATCAATCATTTATCCTTCATTCGTTATCGTTCAATTAATAATGAATTTGTAAAAATATTTAACAAAATCTGATTGTAAACTTACTTCGAATTATCTTTTCTAATATAATTAAAAGTACAGCAATATCCGTCCTGTGTTTTTTCAAATGAGAAAATGTCTGAACAATTATACTCATTACCGTTGAAAGCACACGTAAGTAACATAACCGAACACTGTGGTGTTAGCTGAAATCAATCGACATAAAATCGATCACGATCAAATAGATTCTCGTACCTTTTTTTCTTAAATGGAAAAGATACACACTAACACACACAGACACACACGCTTGAAGAATTCTCACTTCTTTCATTATGGCGTCCATGTCATACTCCCCTTCGTAAAAATCCAGCAAAAGATTGTTCAACTCGTTACGTCGATTTTTTTCCAATTTTCGCATAGAATTATAAGAATCTCCCAAATGTTCGAACAATTCGAGAATTTCTTCCACAGATAAATTCGTGACGTTCGATCTGTAACTAATATTAAATATCAAACGTTATATAATTAGGATCATTATAATTAACATAATATTAATACTCAAATAATATGAAATGAAATGAAAATTAAACGATAATTATATTATATTAATATCGATTAATTCGTGCAATAATATTACATATTTTCATACTTGATACTAACTCAGTATAAATAGTATTTAAATATGAACAAAATATGTAGATTAAGCGATCGAAATCTTTATGTAATCAACAAATCTTTCGAATATTATTCCTGAAAATCGATGAAGTGAAAACTCGAAGAAACATTGAAATACTATAACTTGCTAAAGCACAAAGATAAGTTTCCAAATAATGTTTGAGCACAAAGTACCAAAATGGTATTCTCCTTGAAGGCCAATAGAAAGATATGAGTAAAAGGAAAGAGTTAAAGAGAGAAGGAGAGAGAGAGAAGGAGAAACTCTATCGGTAACTTAGAGAATAGTCTAGAATCGGTAATTCACGAAATGTCTTTCCCATTAACGTCGTGAATTTCAAGCGCAGAAGTTCAAAGTAACGCACTATAGTTGGTTCCTCTTATAAGAGATGGATCGAAGCGACCATAGATTTTCACATATATGAATGCTTCATCACATACGATATAACCACCAATTCCCAGGGTCTTCATTAATTTCTCTACAACCTTAATTATCCTACATTAAATATCAAACGCACACACTCACACATATACATAGTACATAAGCATTAATTAACAACAATAACAATATAATAATAGTATAATAACATGATAATAATACTCACGTAATTGGATAACCCACATACACAGAGAAAAAGAAATTAACCATAACAATAATAATTATTATAATAATAATGATAATAATAATGATTATAATAATAATAATAATAATAATAATAATAATAATAATAATAATAATCAGGTAATGAAGATATTAGAATATTTGCATGATATAAAAAAGTAAAATCCAATCGTGGGTTATTTTAGCACGCAATACATCATTTTCTCGCGGTTAAAAATACATGAGGAAAGATCGTTAATATTAGAGGTGTTAGCTGTAACATTATATGTCGTGCCGTGGGTTAATCCTCTAAATCATAAATTAATTAACGATGTAATGGCAACTGATGGTGTGATGGTCATCACCCAAACGAAAAATGGCTATCCGTAATGTGTATAATACGTTTTTAATGATCCGTCAAAATGACTGCGTCGTTTAAACACGCGTATAACTTCTCTCTTTATAACTTCCCATTTCTGTTTATGTACTACTCTTATCTACCTTTACATAAATTTATATATAGATGTATATATAGATAGATATTTATGTATTACGATGTTACCTTTATGCGGTGAATTTTATGACTGCAATATCTTGCACATGTCGGTGGTTAATAAGTTCGTTGTTGTGGTCGAAGCAACATTATTGCAAAACATTATATACATATATATATATAGATATAGATATATATATAAATTTATAAGCAATATAAGAACGTAAGAAACGAAGCACTGATCGAGAAAAGTTCAAACAATCCTCATATCCTATCCCGTGAGTCCATTTTAACAAGAATTTTCCTTTCTTATGAAATATTAATCTTCTCAACGTTTCCAAGAGATTCCAACAATTTACCAAAATTCAATAATTGAATATTATAATACTTCAGAACCACGTAAAACTATTTATGATATCGTATAGAATAAGGCAAGAAAGTTTTTCAATTATTTTCCATATAAATTACTTTTTTCAAGATTTTGTTAAACTCGTTTAAATAAAAGTATGTACTAATTTTCGAATTTTTTACTAATAATATCTAAACAGTTTCAAAAGAATTTTTAATAATTTTTCAAGATCATCTACGAATATTTTACCGATCCAGTATGATCTGAGAACGTATTATTGTATTTTTTTTTTTATATATATCTCTCTCTCTCTCTCTCTCTCTCTCTCTCTCTCTCTCCCTTATACGAATAGAATAAAACTTTAGTTATATATATAACGTGCGAGGTTAGAAAAGTTTATACTATTATCTTAGAAATATTTCTCTCTACTTCGATCTACCAGCTTCTTTCATTTTACGTCTTTGACGTTTTACGCTCAAGGAACAAGTAGTGTAAAAGACTATCCAAACAGAGGGTTGAAGAGAACCGAACGAAAGAGAAACAGATAGATGGAGGGAGAGAGGGAGAAAGAGAAAGGTAGAGTACAAAAGTACTCAAAGTCTTCTTCGATCAACAACGTACCAAAGCAACTTTACAATCGTGTAAAGTTTAGTAACTGCTACGTCGTCCTTTCAATTGAACAATTGTAATTCGATCTCAACCGAATTTCTACTATATTCTATTTTCTAATTTCAAAGGTTGATCTAATTTATCTTACAAATATTATATCTTGCATTGTACTTAAATTTTCTTATCTCTACCTAATATTTTATTCTTATCTTTACCTATCTCTCTCTTTCTCTGTTACTATCCCTAATTTTAATAACTATGTAACGTATCCCATAAAAAAGAAAAACATGCATTCGATTAAAAAAAGTATCATTACCACCCTACGTACTTAAAACGATATATGCTAATAAGGTGTTAATATATCTGCGTAATTAGTTGCCTATTTTTCTTTTTGTTTCTTTACTGAAAATGTATTTTTTCGATGTTTGTAAATATTTCAAAAATAATTTGCGCGATATAAAAACAAATAAATTTATTTGCTAATGAATATTGTATTTAAATAATAATTTTAAAAAAATATCTAGATAAATTTGTATGGATATGCATTTGAACGAGGAAACAAGAACCCAAGGTATTATCCTCGAAACTTCTAATATGAAATAATTCTAAAACGCAATCGCAAATTCATCTTTCTCTTTCAAGCGTATCCAATCGGAATATTCCCATCGATAAAGTTTCTATCTTCGGCATGATTGGAAAAGTATAATACTTCGCACGACCGATTCTCAGCGGTTATATTTGCGATTTGTGGAATCGACCGGAAGCGGGCTAACGTTAACGCGTGCGGACCAGATAAAATATTCGGAATAATGCTCACTAAACAGACTAGACGATGCAGCTTCAACGCGTACCCGATTGAAATCAGCCATGCAGTGCAATTTGGTACAGTGCTATGAAGCTTTCCTCCACCCCCCTTTCCTGTCTCCTCTCTCCCTCTTTTCCCAACCAACGATTCGATACTACCCATTTTGCGTCGTCGTGTATCTCTCGTTATGTCATAACCAACCCACCCTCACCTCCGAACTCTCATACCTATTCTAACCCGAATACTCGTTCTTTGTTTTACCATATAACTGTCATTTATATTTATTTAACGCTATAAAAATCTCTTACACTTTCCTCGCCATTTTAACCGCTGATTGCCGACTTATCCTGTTGATACTGCAAATTGCTATTGCTAAAAATGATAAGAGATAATTGTCAACGTTAATATTTGTCATTGAATTTCTACGATATTGAAACCCTTTGCACTGATAGATCATGTCTTATGTCACTTAATCATAATAATACGAATTGATAGACAATAGTAATAAATATTATACATGTACAAGTACATTTATTAAATGAATAAAGCTAAAAAATAAATTATAGTGCAAAGGATTAAAAGGATTAAAAATTAGATTAATAATCAAACATTTACCTGGAAACATGATTTTACTTGTAGGATAATGATCCGACTCAACCGACGTCACCATTGGCATACTTACGAACGCTGAATAAGCATCAGTAACGAAGTACACTAATATGCATATAGTTGTCACGTGCACAGCGAACCATATGACCCTACAAAAAATTATTTATCAATTATTTTCAATCTCATATATGTATATTCGCGTTAATTATCGAATTGTTTACTTATATTACTTCAACGTCTGATCTTATAGAATTACATGCGTTATTAACTTTTACTATTTAAATGTTTAACCAAAAATTTCTCGACTTATACTATAGCAAAACAATTTTTATTTGATTTTTGCACAATTTTATTGACATTTTAATGATTTACAAATGATTGACTTTTACTACTTAAATATCTGATCTCGTGAAAATGTGTAAATTCATATGATATGAATTATATGATATGGCTTTGTCAATTCGAACCTCCAGCGATCAGTGGCTCCTTATCGAGCAACGATATGCGACTCTGAAATAAACAAAACATTGAGATGTTGAAATACTACTATCACATCGGCGATATGGCATTCATTGTCAGGATCTCAATTTGTATAAACGTATCTACTTTAATAAACGTACAGTAAATCTTACCTGTATTTATTATAATCACTGTATTTACTTAAATTACTGTGTGCGTTACCTGTACTTTTCACTTACTACCTATCACTTGATCGTCCACTAGGACACACCATATAATTCGTGCACTACTTCAGTGTTTAACGTACTTATACTACTTTCCCTGACATTTTTAAAACTCGTACTACTTAATACAATATACTCGAATTTACTATTATAAAAAAAATTAATAAATAACATACAATTATATATAATCTATTTAATTATAACACGTAAATAACGAGGAGTTGTTAGTCGCAGTTAACAAACTCGAGGTGTTAACGATATCTTTGTTATGAATTTAAAGTAATATAAAACACAACGAGTATTAATTATTATATCATATATACAATATGGAATATATTAAATAAATAAAATTAAAATTAAATAATACCTACATAATATATCTTACGATAATATATTTCAATTAAAATAAATTTAACATTATATTAAAAAATTGATTTTCATAATTACCTTTCGAACCACGTTCTACGTGGTTCAATCAAATACTTGTAACCCACCAAAGCTGATTGTTCGCAATAAAGGCTGATGTATTTATGCAACGTTTTGCGAATATGATATCCCTGTGATGATCGTTTCGTATCAGCACACGGATAACTAACATCTACTTTCGAAGTTTTCGTTTTATTTTCCCTGTTTTCCTTCATAACCTCCATTTTCATGATAATACAAAATTTCTAAAATACTTTCGCGATTATACAAGATTTAAACTAACGTCTGATCTCAAGTTGATTGATTCGCACTACTTAAATAACTTGATCGTTACTTTACCTTTTGAACTATAATAATTAATTAAATAATGAAACAATGTTCGAATCAAAAAAAAATATAATTAATATGAACTAAATATTAAATTTGCATCTTTTGATTGTCTCTCAATCAATAAAAATCACAAATAACATTCAAACGATGAGTAATAAAGACACAAATATAAAATGTAAATTCTAATATAGAATACTCTTGAAGTTTCATCGTTGACGATGAACAACCAACTGGTCGACCTGTCGGTCTCTTGATCATTCTTTCGACTGAGAACAAGTGTTAACCTCTAATACAGAAAATAAATCGGTCACAATGACGTTTGCACGAACCACATAATATCTGTCTATATGTGTCTCTCTCTCTCTCTCTCTCTCTCTCTCTCTTTCCCTTTCCTTTTCTTTATTTCTTTCTCTCTCTTTATTTTAAGATAACATTGTTTAGTTTGAACACATCAGGACAACACTTTCACGTATCTCTATCTCTCTTACTACGTCAATCACGTATCTCACGCACAATCGAGTGCAAGTCATGTCTGGTTTATTCCTTTTCTCTTTCCATTTTTATCTCCTATCTCTATCTCTATTTATCTGTCTATCTATCTACCAATCTATCTCTTTCTAAGTATCAGTACATTTAACGTATCTACTGGACGAACCTAAGCTATGACGGACAGCACATGGAATAGCATTTTCCTCGCTTCCTAGCTAAACCTTCTGAATTCTTTATAACATTTTCCTACTACTATATTCTTTCTTTCTCTCTCTCTCTCTCTCTCTTTCTCTCTCTCTCTTTCTCTCTCTCTTTCTCTCTCTCTCTGCATTACTACTTTATCCTGCATGGAAGAGCTCGAACATCGCTTGAACATGAAAGTACTCCCGGTTAGACATGCATCGCACTAGGATCATTCGAATGCATCGAGAATTAAATCAAGTTTACACTGTGTTAATCGAATCTACATACTCAAACCTTTCCCGATTCTCTATCAATAGAGTTTTATCTATCTATTTATTGACTTTATCTATCCTCGATCTATATACGATGTATCCATTTTTTGCTGGTTTACTTACCTTTATTTATCGTTTTCTATTTTTTTTTTTTTTTTTAATAATCTTCTTTGAGTTTAGAAGTACTGCATTTAAAAAATACTTTACTACTATTCCATTTATTTGGTCAGTATAAATAATAATTTTTCAATGTTTACAATGGAATTGAGAGAAGTCAAAGGTCGAGATGAAATTAATATTTATTTAATCGTTTAAGAAAATATTCATTTTTATCCAGGAACTGATCGATAACGAAAAGGTTAACGTAAAACAAAAGTACTATCATTTTGTTATTTTCTTTTTTAAGAGAGGGAAAGAAAGAAAGAGAAAAAAAAATTAGTTACAGACAAAACAAATAATATCTCGACTTATATTACTTTTGATTTATCACAGAATTATAAATCTCTATATTCATAACGAGTATAATGCAAATTCCTGAGGGTTTAAACATTACGCTCTCATTTCTGTAGAACATAGTACCTCAAAAATGACCAAAAGGAAAGAGAAAGAGAGGAAGAGAGAGAATGTGTACCTTAGTAAAGCAAAGGTGCTTTCACTCGTTTCATAACTCTCACGTTTGTTCTGATAACTCGGTAGAAAGTAGAGTATCTCACGCTTGTGCAAAGTTTCCCAACGATTTAGCCTTATCTTTAGCGCACTCTTTATGTAAAGAAGGGGCTCGATCCTTATTGTATATCAGGAATAAGAAAGTATTCCTTTTACGTGATACCACTACTACTTGTTTCCACGTTAATCGTTAATATAAATTTGTTCAAAGACAAAGTTTTCTATCTTGTTATGTTCTTTTATTTCCATTTTATTTTTTTTTTTTTTAACAATAAAATATTTTGTTTAACTCAAAAATTACATAAAATAAGATGAGAGAAAAAGAGAAGAGTATAAAATATAAAAAAAAAAAAGGAGAAAATAAAAAACAAAGAAAGAACAAAATAAATAGATAAAATATATATTTATATAGAAATTCTTTTTAACGCGCGAAAATACACGCTGACGTTTTAAATTTACTCGCTGTATTGAAAGCGAGATCACACTTGCAAAATCTATTTTGCTTAATCTCGAGATTACGGTCGTGTGTAAGCCACGCCCAACGGTGATCCAATTTAAATACCATCCTTGAACACGAATAAAACGTATCGCGTATAAATGTGTACACTATACGCCAAAAGGATATTAAATTCATGCAATTCCGAATTCAAGGGACGCAGATTCTATAACATCGTTGCACCATTCTTCTTTTTCTCTCTTTGTCCTATTCTTTTCTTTTTTTCTTTTTCGTGAGCAAAAAATTGTAAAAAAATGTAGAATCTCTCTCCGTGCAATTTTCAAAAAAAGAAAAGGAAAGAAAATAAAATCTCACAAATATTGTTTATATCTTACAATTTTATTATTATGTCATTAAATATGAAATATTAGATTTTGGAACGAACAAAATTGAAATAATACTTTAAAAACACAGTTTTGATGTAACACGACATATCACGATATTTTTATAAGATAATGTTGAGAAAAACAGATTTGATTGTATATAATTTAAGAATTTTATACATTCAACATCTCTTACTATTTTCACGAGGGTTTATAAACAAAACATCAATAGAAAAAATTCTAATTAAAGACATTTATGTTTATTATATGTAAGATTATTAATCACAAAACGTAACATTATCCTACTTCTAATTATTATAAGGTTATCAAGTCTTACATTTATTTTTTCTTTATTATTAATACAAATCAATTATTCGATTAAAAAATATTGCAAGAATTTAATTCGTATTGCTACTAGATATTTTTTGTTAAACTATTTCAACGAATATACGTTTTATTTGAAAAAAAAAGAACTTCTTTCTTTACTTTTCATGAAATAAAATTATTCACGTAATATATTAAAAAAAGAATATTCATTGAGTCAAGTAATTTAGTATTTATCGTTTCCATAATATTTCAAGAGGGTAGTCGAGTATATTCAAGTATACTTTGATACGATAAAATACAATCGATGTAGCATCCATACGGAAAAGAAGAAGAAAAAGAGAGAGAAAAAGAGAAAGGAAAGTTTTCCATTGCAAACATAGAACGCACTGCTATAATTTAAAAAAAATATCAATGTTAACCATCAACCTTCGCAGATGCCTCATTTCCTTCTTTTCCTTTCATTTAATATGCAGAGATATCGGCATACCTTGTATCGCATATATTCATTACATTTAAATCGTACTTCCTTTTAAAAATAAATAAAAAAGATTTAACGAAAAAGAAATAGGTACATGTTTATGAAAAATGTTAGAAAATGTAAAATAGGGAATGAGATCCTTTTTTTTTATGGAAATTTTATACTTTAGACGTTCTCTTATTTTTATGAAGGTTACGAATCAAACGTCAAAAGAAAAAAGTTCAATCTAAAACTTGATTATAATAAAAAAAAAATGAAAAACATCGTAAATATATAATAATAAAAATTATATACAAATTTATATATCAATAAAAACATATTCGAAAGATTAAAAAATGACGAAACTCGTTAATTTCAAAATTGTCTACATTCTAAAACGTTAAATTAAAAAAAATTATGGACGTTATTAAATAATTAATAATAATAGTGAAACCAAGAGACATATAAACTTGTTCTTTAAAGGTCGTCGAGAAATTGTCTATGGTTTATAGCGGAAACTATAAATGCATACTTAATGAAAGGCACGTTTCCGTCGAGAACATTTTACCGACCATTTCTCTCTCGCAAACGTGACTTATTTCAGATTGCAAAAAACCTACCTATCATATATATACATATACATATGTATATAATAATAAAATACAAGTGTCTCTCTATGATTTTCTAATACGAGGAAAATAACAATAGAAAAAAAAAAAGAACAAAAAAAATGAAAAGAAAGGCAATGACGTTCGATGGATGACATTAGAAAGTTTGCGTAAAATTTCGTTAAGAAAGAAAGTAAATGTGAAACCTTTTTATGGGAGTGAAATCATGCCAGGTAAAAGGAGAAAAAGAAATTACAGTAAAAAGTGCTAGCTATTACTTTTTTCCGAAAAAAAAAGAAAAAAACCGTACCTCTCAAAGTTGATTCAGTGACGAAAAGTGTGTTTCCGCCACCTCTATAGTTACACTTCGTTTCGTGAGCTTTCTCAAATGGCAAATTGAAAGAATACTTCGTTACTAGCGATCGAAAGTAGACCTTTTCTTTAAGCTTCACTATAAAGTTTCCCTATTCTTAAAGGGAAATTCGATATCGGCACTCAGAAACGCATTAACGGGACAATTGAGTCTCGGATCTCGATCTGGTGTATATACAAGCGATTTTTACTTTATTTTATTTTTATTATTAGATCATTCGTAAACGAGTTTGTTATACTTATTTCAAAATGAAACTTTATTATTTTATATAATAATAATAATAATAACGATAATAATCATTCGATTACTTACGTAATCGTAGACTTACGTCTTATTTGATATCTTAACGTTAAAATCAATCATCGTTATTTAAAAATTCAATGGATTCTAATAATAACTTTGAGGAAAAAGAAAGCCATCGAAAACACACATGAGTGCATTTACATACACATGATGTGTGGACACACAGAATAGATAGAAAAAAGAAAAAAATAGGAAAATTTGATTTACATCGGCCTGTAAAAAACCGAGATCGAAGATACTCTCTTTCTTTCTCTAACACACACACACACACACACAC